GGCAGGTCGTCTGATTCTTAGGTCCTCAACTGGCATCGTGGCATCTTGGAAGCGCCTTTCCTGGGAGGGTGAATGGCAGGTAGACAGCAGCAGCGGTGCACAGGAAACAACAAACCTCCTGGCTTCTGCTGGGAAGCATCTGATCTGTCTCCTCCCTCACAGCAAGGATTGCCTGACATGGTTTGCCTCTGAAAGGGCCAAGGCTAAATCGCGCAAGTAATGCACTTTTCTCTTGCTCATGGGAGTTTAGCTACAGAGGCAGCTAAGGGTGGGGGGAAAAAACCACTGCTTCTATGGACAGAAACAATTGTCCTCCCTGTCTGCATTGATAAACAGCTCTGCCATCTGGTGTGGGGGGAGGAGGTAGCGGTGTCAGACACAAGTGAACCTCGTTAGCTGTGAAGGAGACGGTAACAGCCAGTACAGGGCATGGAGCCCACGAGCGCCATGTGAGAAGGATGCGCGAAGGACCACGTTGCCGTAGCCTTTCAGGGGCTGCTCTGTAGCAGGAATAGCGGAGCAAAAACAGGAGCATCCCCTGCCCGGGCGCTGGCCAGGCCCAGCCCACCCTGGCTGCTGCAGCTGCAGCATCGCTGTGGCAGTAGTGCAGAGCCCAGGGCCCTGCGGGCGGAGCTGGGGTGCGGTGTTTGCTGGCTGAGGAGGGCAGGAGAATCCCAGAAGTGGTGACCAGCTCTCCCTGAGCTGCCAGCAGTGTAAGGTGGAGCCTGGCAGCTGCCACAGGCTCTCCACAGCTGACAGCGATTTACTGTGCTCCCTCACCTCTGCTCAGTTCCACCCGTCGCTTCTCTTTCTTCACCTTGGTCATTACTTCAGCATTTCCTGCCTGTGACCATCATCCTCTCTGCTGTGCTGTCCTGCCATTTCTCACACTGCCATCCTTTCCATTCTCTCGCTGTACTTTTTTTCCTCCCCAGCTTCACCACCCCACCCCCCAGTACACCGAGACCCACAACAGCATCCCTTGTTCCTCCCTCCCCATCCCCTTCCTGTCCCTCAGGCTCCTCCACATCAACTCTCACAAGGCCACGGTCACCTCCCTACACCATTTATCCCCTTCCTTATCCGCATGGCTGGGGTGGGGGGTAAGTGAGGAACCGTGGCCCACCCTGCCCTGCTGCTGTTGCTGGCCCCAGGGGTAAGATGCAGCACTGCACCTTGTCTTCCACTGCTGTCTCTCCTACACACCCCACAGAAGAGGCCCTGCTTTTACCACTGTATCCTGTGTTTGTTTATCCTTGTGTTGCATTAGATGTTCTTGCAGGAGGGAACTGCTGCTGCTGCATTAAAAAGGACACGTGGTGGAAGCACAAGCTAGAAGCTGCAGTTCCCCTTTTCCATATTTTTTTGCCCATAAGTAACTTTGAGCTGGGCATATAAATATCTGCAAAAAATCTTTGTGCACACAGGCCTGTCTCGAGCTCCTTTGTGCAACAAAGCACAGCCCACCACATCTGCATCCACTGTGCTCTGCAAGCAGGTGCCAGCAGCATACTGGCAGGGCAGCTGACTGGCTGCAGAGCCACCATGGAGGGTGGTGTCACTCTGCCCTTCAGCTTAGGACACAGCACAGCAGAGGGCTTTCCACCAGTGCTAGGCATGCGTACTTAGGTCCTTTTCCTCAGGAGCCAAAGAACAAAACGGGCTCAAAACAGCAAGGCATCCCATTTATCTGGGAAAGCAGGCATCCAGAAGTGAAGGTCAGGCATGTCAGGGAAGAAGAAAGATTAAAGGTGATGTAACTGGAAAAGTCTTCACATACCAAACGTATCCACAGTTTCCCTGTTTCAGGTCTTCTGAGAGCCCCAGGAGGCAGCAGAGCATCTCTCCCTCCTGGGACTGCTGTTAACAGAATTGCCTTTACTCGTTCTCAACAGACAAACATCTCAAAACTGCACGATGTGCACACATCTAGATGTTTGGTTTCTGGGCCAAGGTACCATGTCCACAAACTACCTTGGAGCACACTAAGAAGGGAAGGTCTTTCTTACAAACCCTTCCTGAGACAAAGGCAGAGGAAGGAAACATGCCACCCCCCCCAACCATCCCAGGGAAGTGATGAAGGCAGACACAACAACCGCAAGTAAAACTCAAGGTGGATGGAAGTTGATGCATTTTCATTGTTTATCACAATATCTTGTGCAAGTATCTGTCTTTGGCATTGACCTAAACAGAAAAAAATAACAGACCCTTGATGAAAGCACGTGACAAGTCACAAACAGAACATAATGCAATTCCAAGTAAGTTCTCCACTGACAGTCTGATGGGACTTGCTCCCCAACACCTTCAAACAAGTCTGCATACACCTTCAACTGCTATAAAATATTGGCAAAGAATATATGCCCTTCTGCCTGCCCCCCTCTTGCAAAAAAAGAAAAAAAGACTCTTTGGCAGTCCTCGCTAGCTGAAGCCTGACACCAGGATGAAAGCTGGCGTGCTCTCCGCTGACAACGCAGTTAACAGACGATGCAGCCCCTCGCCTGCCATCCATGACACAGTGGGTGACAGTGCTCTGGCATGACACCTGCCCCATCAGACACACCTTACAGGCAGCTGGGTGCCCATCCCAGCCCAGGTTATGACCCTGCACATCAAGGGAGCATGTACTCATCCTCAAAACCTCTGTGAGGGCTCCCACCAGCTGCACCAAGCATGTCTGATACAGGTTTCACTGCACTCCCAAGAACTTTGCAAGCACCAAGTACTTGGGCTCCCTTTTCTGAAAGGGTGGTGGTCATGTTGTGTATGGTTTATGGGGGGTTTGGTTTGTTTGTTTTTATTTTTTGTTCCCTCCCAGGGAAAAGGTAGTAACGCCTTACAGGATTCTCCTGCAATGTTCCTGAAGGCTATTTCCATTACAGCCCAGAGCACCTTGGAAATAAACACAAATGTTTTGGAAATACCAAAAAAAAATACTACAGAGTAAGCTTTGTCAGATAAATGAAAAACATTTCCCTGCAAATAGGAATTGATAGACTACTAGAATTAACATCTTCCTAGTAGCCATTTTGTATTATTTCTAAACCTAAACAAACCCCAAACAATCAAAGATTTCTAAGAGTTAATGCAATGTCCAAGAATAACTTTAAATCCAAATCAGTATACATTCAGTCTCTAAATAAACATGAATAATACTGGTTTGCACCACCTTCAAAGCAAGTGGAATGGAGTTTAGGAGTCATGCAAGTGTCCGCTAGAGATCAGCCATACACTGTCTGTAGGTAACAACACACCAGCAAAAGCCTATTTTAAATGCATCTTGTTCTATGGACACCTGAATTCACGTATCTGTGCAGAGTTTAGGATCACACACTTCATCAAGCATGCCAAAGCATGTAGGTTTAAAATGTGTTTATGTAAATCAACTGGCATTTCTACATGAACTTGTTTTGTATACAGGTGGAATTAAAGACAGCTGCAGAAATTTCTGGAATGAAACTCTCCGGATAATACATCAAAACCAAAGAAAATAAACTGACAACAGTCTTGAAAATGCTTTATTGAACTGTGTGTCTTATTGTAATGTGCAGAAGATGTGTTTGAAAAGACTACAGCTTGAAAAATTTTTGAAAATCCTCAACGATAAATAAAAAAATCCCTACAGGGGGTAACTCTCAGGATAACCAGAGGCCTCATGTAAAGTTTCCCTTGAAACATTTTCTGTTGCAGAGACTAAAAGGGAAAAAAAAAAAAAAAAAAAAGCTAGTACTGCTCTGTGTGGAAACAATCAGGATTTGAGGATTTTAAAAAAAAAAGAAAAAAAAAAAGAAAAAAAAGGAATGGAACTTCAGTCTACCGGGTCGCTTCTTTTGCTGCTGTTATTTTGGATTGGCATACATGTCAGTTCTGCTGAGAACACCAGAACACCATCTGGTGTTCAAGTCTGTAAATTTACTCTAGAACGCTAGTAATGCTGTGGAGATGGAAGGACATAGAGAAAGAGAGAGGGGGTGAGGGGAGAGAGATCTGGAGAGACACCATTACGATACCCGCCTAGTTTAAATTTTCTTCAGAAGCTGTGTGCACTTTTGTTTTTATAATCTAACTTTACATTCAAAAAAAAAAAAAAAAAAAGGAAAGAAACCCAAACCCAAACATACACCTTCTGTCCTTGTCTTGGGACTATTATAAACACCAATGCACAAGAACATCATACTCTCTTTTTTTCCAAACCAGCAGGGTTAACAGTATAGGCGTGTAGGTGGCACGATTCAACTAAAAGGCTTTTTCAATTTTTTTAGACCAGCAAAAATAACCAAAAGAAACAATAAATAAAAGGTGCTAAAGTTAGCATTAAGAATTCAATTGTAATATACTGGCAATCTGGGAATCCAAATCCTCAAGCTCTCCTGATACTGACAGGTCTCTGCAAACTATGAAGCAAATACATAAATAACTCAAAATATGACTCAGACTCTGAGAGGCTTTTTAAACTAAGACAACATGATCCAGGTTAACTTTTTTTTTTTTAAACACAGTGAATATATGAATTGTCTACACCTGAATAAAACATAATCAACAATTAAAAAATTTTAACAACGACAAAAAGGAAAAACTTTGAACAAAAGTGAACATAATTTGATTTCAGGGCACACAAAAGCCCCTTGCAGTAGCTTCCAGCAGTGGCCTTACTGTTGTGTCTCCTACAGATGCATAGAATGAAGTTCAACTCCACACTGAGGTGATGGCTAACAGGCAACATAATGGTCACATACAGCAAAATGCCACACCCTGGTCACAACAATATATCCCACTGCAGTTTCCATCCTGTGCAGCAACTGCACATAAAGATGTCATTCTGTCATATATTATTCAAAAGCTACTTTGTGGCCACAAACTGCTACTCAGCACTAACTTTTTTGCCCTGTAACCTTTGAATAATGGGAAAGCTTTGGGGTTTATAGTTTTACTCCTTGTATTTAAATTTTTAAATGACAAGGTCACTAAAATTCATGCACGCTGCAAAAAACTTCATGCAGTAGTTAAGGTAAACCATCCAAGCAGTTTTTATTCATTAATATTCATAAATACACACAGCAGCTTCATTAGAGATTTTTCATTTTTTTTCCTCTTCAGTTTGAATGTGGAGTATTAGGAGAGCCTTTTGCATGTCAAGGTACAGGACACAGAGATTTTTGCTCTGCACTGCAACCTACATTTACCTGCTAGAAGTAAAAATTAGTTAAGTGGAAATGATTATCATATATATCTTTTCTCTCTTTCTTTTGAATGTACACAATGTAACAAGAGTGACAGACCTGAAATTACAATCACCAAAACAAACCCAAGATAGTTGTTGTCCACTTTCATTGGCAAATACAGCACAGAGGACATTGTCTGCAAAGTGGGATGTCATCAAAGAGGAGGTGGAGGAGGCTCATTTCCTTTATTACTCTCTTTTAAATTTAGGTTTTCTAAAGCAACATCTAGAGGCATAATATCTACGCAGCCCATAGCACCAAAATCTGCAATCTCCCCCCGCTCATCCTCATCTGAGGAAGAACTTTCTTCCCGCATCAAAGTGGACAGTAGAAGCTCCTGAACAAACAGGCTGCAGTCTGCCCGTTCGCTTTCCATTGACTGACGCTCTGCTTCCGACATCTTCGGATCATTCAACCTGTACAGCAGCAAGGGAAGAGAAGACATGCAGTTGGTGAAAGCCCATTTCACCGATGACACTACTGACAGGCACCAAAGGGCACTCGAAAACCACTCCTGCAGGATAGTCCTGCCTGCCCTCTGACACCTCAGTACAACAGGCATGCGTTTAACAAACCACCCTTTCCCTGTTGCTACAGCAACAGTGGAGCGTAAAGTTAGAGGGAAGTAAAAAATATTTGTGAGGTTTCCTGATATTCAGATGACTTTCAAGGAGGGCTGTCGTGATTTCCAAGATGCTCGTTATGTGCCTGTTCTGTTTCTAGGTCAGCTTCTGAGTTCACATCTGCCTTAAAAATGCAAGTGTGAGGCCTAGGGATCCCCAAAGCATGATACAATGTTCTTTCCACCACTTCTCCTAGGTTATAGTGCATGCCCTGATAGGCAAGGAAATTGCTTGCTCCAACTCTGAAAATCACAATCTGTGACACCTGCAAGTACTTTCATTAAGTTTCTCAAATAATAATGAGTTTCTGATTGAAAGATGTCACATATTATTACTTTCCACTTAGATAAAAATCGTATTAACTCAAATCCAGGTTTCTTCATACAGGAGCTGTTAAAATGCCCACACTTTCATGATACCGTACAGAGAAACACAAGTTTGTTAGGGGGGAGGGGGCGGGGCAGGGTAGATGTGGAAAAGAGTTTTATTTCAGGTCAACAGCTGACCTTCTAAAACAACTGTAATGACACAGTGGGTGACTCCTCTTTAAAATAACCCTGGGATCCAAGTATAATTTCTAAACCAGGTAAGTATCCTGTTAATTAATGGCATCCTTTATTTTCTTTGTTACCCAGTCCCTAAATTAATTAACATATAAACTTCCATCCAACCTTCAGCTTTTACTAAAGATTAATCTCCTATTAAACAATACTACCTTCTGACCCCCTCCCTCTCCATTACAGCTCAAGTCTCTATGCTTTCATTACTGGAAATGCACTTGTTTTGTTGGAAGTAGTAGGGGAAACAAGCATAATTTAGTTAAGAAACATTCCCTTTGTTCCTCTTGAAGTTGAGATGCAGCAACTAAGGTTTACCCATTGCTTAGGAGCAGCCAGACCGCAGGGTTGAAAAGATGTCACAAATGCAAACAAAAGCACAGTACGTTGGCTACAGACTTGATGAAGGATCTGGAAGAAGTCCCCTGCCTGGAGTCATAAATAACTTTACTCAGCCAAAACTAAAAACCAGCCTCCTTTTCAACATTTGCAGAAATCCATACTCAAGTCCAATCCTTTAAACATATTCCTATGCGTGTCAAAAAAAGCACAGCACACTTGTGAGATTCCCTCTCCTTTTTGCAAACGCTAGACCGCCACAGGCTATTTCTGTAGCCAGCTCCTGGAGCTGGCTTTCCAAAAGCAGAGTAATTCTCTTTGGGCCAGCTATAAACTGCCACCCTTGGATATTAAATTACTGGTTTTACTTTCATGCTTGAAATGTGGATGGAGCAAGTTTTATGTATTACACATTCTGTGACCACTGTTGACAACTACCGTTAATATATTCTGCACGATTAATCAGCCTGCTAACTCTGGGATATATTTGATCAGACATCACTGTACTAAGGCATATGCCTAACTCCAAACACTTAAGTTTCAGTGAGTTCCATGTGTCTTATCAGGACTAAGGCAAACAGAATTGGTAAAAGGTAAATACACAAAACAAGTTACCTTGTAAGAAGGAACTGGGAATTCTGGATAGTTTGCTGACTGTTTTCTGTGTTAGATGTGTTGGTGGTTGTTGTAGATTGTGTCATAGCGGTGCTGACATTGATCGTGTTGGTGCGCCTAGTTGCATTGCGTGCAGTCTCCAGTTGTTGTCTTGCTGCCTGTGCATGTTGTCGTTCCAACTGCAGTTGCATCTGCAGCTGCTGTAACTGAGAAGCAGAAGGGCCAGAGGAGTTGAGCTGTCCTCCTGCAGAACGCCTCACGCCTGATAGCTGAGATAAAAGCTCTGCCAGAGAAGATGAACATTATACAACAGAATGAATACACCCTGAATTCCAGTGCATCAATTCCTATTTTCAGTCAATAAAATCAAAGAACAAACAATGCTGAAGAACCCATGAAGCTCTTGAAAAAAGTCCTAGCATTCAGTGTCTCAAAGGGTAAGCAAGATTAAGACTCATTTATGTAAATTTATTCCAAATAAGAAGTCAAAGTTTAATGCCTTCAAAATAACAGAAGAGCCAATCTACACATTATGCCTGGCAAATTATGTCCTCTCCCACAATTCTCTGAAATGTCAAGTCAAAACAGCAATTGACTGAGGAACTAGTTAGTTTTAGCTTCGGTTGATGGTTTTATTTTCCTTTCAACAAATGTTCCCTCAAAACACAGACTTAATCTTCCCAATATCCCAGAAGCAAGCCATGCTGCAGCAAAGAAAGAAATATCATACCATCACTTCAAACATTTAATAAAAAATATTTGGTTAAGAAAACATATTAAAAGTATTGCCTCACATCAAAACTGAAGTGGTCAACCTTTTTTGCTGTAAGAATTTTTATTTCTGCCAGAAGTACAGAGAAGGCCTAGCCATCAAAAAACCTCTCTCCTTAAGTCTTCCAATTCAGGGGGATGGAATAATTATAGCACATTTCACTCAGAAGTATTTTTGTGAAATAAATATTAGCAGTGAATCACTGCTCAGAGCATTACTGCAGAATCTCTTCTACACCGTGTGTATCAGATACTTCTTGTATCACCTGTTTGCTATAGCCGATGCAAGGGCAGAGGAAGTAGGGGATGACATTGCTCCTGCCCCTCACCTCTACATTACAAAGTTACTATATAGATCATGACAATTTTCCTTCCCTTGCATTAACAAAATATAATCCTTCTAAATAAGGCTTTCTTTGGAGGAATAAAGCAAAATGCAATAATCTTCCATGTCAGAAAGCCAGGACGGTCAAGTAATTTTTACCAGCACTGACAGCAATACTAAGATTAAATAACTTTTAATTCCATTGTAATTACTAGAATGTGCCACAGGGAGGAGGGGGAAAAAAAAAAAGGTAAAAAATGTAACATGTTATAAACTTCATTCATTTTAAACATAAAAAATTCTGGCGGTCCTTCCTATTTATTACTTCAGTAACAGGGAAGACATCAAACATCCAGACAAGATCTAGATGTATTTATTCTCACTCTAAGTTAATGTGTAAGTTAAAGCTTAGAGTATAGCGAAACTGTATTTTGGAAGCAGATGTGAACTCAAGACAGTCTTGGTATATGAAGGACACCCAGCTCAGTGTGCAGCTGAACTCTAAATGCAAGAACAGAGCTTCCACCAAAAAAGGTTCAGAAGAATGCCATTTTATCTTGTATTTAATCTTGTTGAGTAGAAAGGCCTCGTGAGGCTGGAAACAAAGCTGAGCAGCCACTGCATGTTTAACTGAGCTGAACCAGCTGCTCTTCTAAGAGAAAGACAAGGTCTTGCACTGGAGGTTCATCAACATCCTCCCTCCTTGAACAAACTCTAGTCCTTTCCAGACTCTCCTGTGACCTCGCTCATTTTCTTCTCTTGATGGGATACTTCTTCCCAGGTAATTTAATGAGTTGAATCAGGCTACAGCAGGCCAGCAGGGCACTGTAGCCAGCAGAAGGCAGGCAAGGGGACCACAATTAAGGAAGGCAGTGGAGCCACAGCTCCCCTTTCAGGGGCAACACCTCATTAAGCTGGCTGGCTACCGTCCTCTGAAGAAGTCAGAACATCGTAGTAGGAAGCTCCAGTTTAAGCATTATGCCTTATTGGCATCTGAACGTGGATTATGGCAGAAGTTCTGAGGTTTCCCTGACACTTACAGTGGCATGGTCAAAGACCACCGCATAAAAACATCCATATTTCCCCTTAGGGAAAATTGTTATTTGTTTTCAGAGTTGTTATTTTCACATCAAAGCTAAGCATACACCAGACAAGTTATTCCTGGGAATCCTGAAGAGAGATCTTCATTATTTGCTGGTGTTGAAAATGAGACATCCTTCCCCGCCTCAAGAGTTCTTCCAAACTTGACCAACATACACTGCAAATACTTGCAACAGTACATTTATGTAAGAACTTACAAGTACACCTAAAAAAAAATATAAAATCCATGGTATTAGCCAGTTTGGCATTCAAAGATCTGACTGAATGCAAACTGAACATATTTTAAATACCCATTAATATTCAAATTCAGCTAATTTAATCTTCATTGAGACAGTTACTTTCCTTCATAAATACCTTTATCCACATGGCAAATTACAATGATATGTATTAAATTAGGTGATTGGACGATCACTTGTAAAAATATACAACACCTGTGCACAGATTAGGTTTGAGAATAAGCCTTACACTGTCTAGAACTAAAAGCACAAGATACAGGCAGCTGTTTCAGCTCCAGCATCGCCATGCACAGCCCCTGTAACAAACCAGCCAAGCACAAAGCTCACCTGCAAGTAGCCATCAATCACACTTGCACTGTGGAGCATATCTGTATGTGCAGCTCCATAACACGGGAAAGCAGGGCAACTGTTACCTCCTGCATTTTACTCTCTGTGTAAGGAGAACACTGGTTAAAGTTTGTGGTTACAGCTCTTACCAGCTATAGGATCCATGGCTTCTCTATTGCTTGGAGAATATGAACTCTGAGAAGATGAAAGCCCACCAGGGGAACTGGTAGTAAAGTGCATGTTTGATCTACGTGCACGGGGGCCTCCCAAACCCCGACCTGGGTGGAACATCCTACGTACATGCCGAACACCACTGGATTCATCGTAATCAAGAAGTTAAGGAAACAAAACCGTTTGCAATTAAGTGACAAGGACACTTGATGGGTGAAAAGCTCAGGTGCCCACTGTTTTCATTCATAAAATAATGACTCAACTTCTGAAGCAAAGCTAAGGTACACTGTAGCTATGGTGCAAATCAGACTTACTGATCTAAACTCAAGATACCAGTCCTGTGTGTAACCAAACTCCCTGTATTTCTCCAGCTTTTTATGATGTCTGAGAAACATCAGGATTAATTTCTTGGGGTTTTTAGATCAAAGTTTTCTACTTAGTAATCTGAAAACTCTGACAAATACATGTTCAGCCAAACTTATTAGAGACATAGGGATTTTACTCCTCCTCCCCAATTCTTATGTTAAGTATTGAAAATAATAAAAAAAGTCTATTGCCATTCCTATCAAAAGCACATAATAATTACTGCATTCCTTTTGACTTTTGTTCTTCAGGCGTTTATCCAAGAAATTTCATCACTTCAATCCTTAAGAAATTGTAGGTTTCCGGAGTATTGAGCACTTTCATCACACCCCTTTGTTTCACCTTTCCTCTTTTAGCCAACAGAATTTCCAGTTATCACAATGGTGCCTTTCATATTTCCATTTTCCCCCACTTCTCCATATCAGATGCTCATATTTCAAGTCATAACTTTTATAAGTTTCTTCATATAAACTAAGAGACAATCAACAAATTATTTAAAGATAATTTGTGTCAGAAAGTTGTTAGCGAGATTGTTGTTAACATTCCCCCAAGACAGCCCAGATAAGGCTTCCTTTTATTTTAAAAATCACTAGTATAATTTACCAGTGCAAAATGAAATAGTGTAGGCTTGAATATTTTATTTTACTGTTACTAGACTTTTAGCTTAGATCCTCCTGTCTCCCATGTTCTTTATTTTTATAATAGTATGCTGAACACTCATATGGTATCCATTACTGTCTAAGAGTAGTGTCCAATGTACTTTTCATAAACAGTGTTACAGGGCAGAACCTCAGACTGTCATGAAGGTCAAGAACTTAAGACTGAAAGAAATTACTAGACTTCTCATGGCAAGAAAGAATTTCTGGCTATTACAAAAAGATTTTACAGAACATTTGCCTCCTTCAAACCTATTAGTTACACTACAGTGCAAAACGCTTAACATCTAGGGTGTAAGAGGAAAATCTCCTCTGGCACAGAACACTCTTTGCCTAACACAGAGTGCCTTGCACCTCCGAGCATGCTAAAACGGGATGATGCTGGAGATGAGATGCTGTATTAGATGGACTACTGCCCCCACGCAGTTTGGCAAGCTTTTTGTTACTAGGAAAGGTAGAAAAGGTCAGTATCTGGGGATTTTTAAGGAGACACGGGACTATGGGGTAACTCTCCTAACTGCAGCTTTTAAAGTGTTTTGAGATAAACATCATTCTTTAAATACTAGCTAAGCATGCACCCAAGTCTTACCAGCTAAGCTACACTAAGAAAAACCTTTGTAAACCTTAACTTGTGACAAACAGATAAGCTGAATAGCCACATGAAAACTATACGATTGATACTGAAAAGCTGTATTTAATAAAACTTTTCAAATATTTTCCAATGCTGAAGTGAGAAACTGGGCTTTAAAGAGCTGTCCCCAGACTGTAGGAATAAAGGACACACCTTACAATGGCTGCACAAGATATCTAACAAGAAATGCATGCAGCCTTCTGGGACAACTTAAGGGAAAAAAAAAAATTAAAAAAATATCACAAAAACCAAAACAAACCACATATGGCTAATCAATACTTGGAAGATGAGGCCACTCCTCAGAACTCCAGCAGACCCAACAATGAAAGCTTACCTCAAACTGTAACAGAAATCTTCACTAGAAAAAGGGCAAGCGAAGAGCCTTCTCTCTCTCGATCTCCTTTTGAACATGAAGGTTGTTACAGAGCATGGAGAGTTAGTTGTTCTATACAGCTTTAACTTCACATGAAGATGTTTAGATCAGCAATATAATGGTATCAGAGAGCAGCTTTCTAACAGCTCCTTGTTAGACTAAGTTATTTTTTTCCTACCCTACCAGACTCTGGATGAAAAGGGGCATCTGCTTTTCCTTTTTTCCTACTTTAGACCTGCCTATTGCTAGGCATGATGTAGCGCTCAACATGGAACAGCCACTTCACAATACACTTCTTACCAGGTTTTGGAGACTTAATAGCACTGGTCACTGAAGCAATAGTCTACAAGCAGAAAATTCTACATTTTAATGCTGAATCATGGACAATGTATGCCCAAAATATATCCAAGAAAGATCCATTTTGGGATGACTGACACCAAAACTTTACTCTGCATTTGAAAAGATTGATTTTTCTAGCTCAAACATTCCCAAACTAAAAAGTCATCTGGTGGCATCTCTGATACTGGAGGGGAAGTAAAAGCTGCAGAAGCATGAATTCTAATCAAACATCTTGCTCATTTCAGTAGGAAATTAATTTCACTCTGTAACAGGGAAAATTTAAACTTCCTGACCTTCAGAGCAGTTAAGCCAATGCTGGAGGCCCACAGTTTCACCTTTGGTACATTGCTTCGTAGTTATCAGGGATGTAAATCTGGTTAGAAAAAACATATTAGGCAGATGCTATGAAAAACTCACAACTGGCAGAAAGAGCAGAACTAAATTGATACAAGAAAAATTGCTCGGTGACTGACTACACCAGTCATCAAGCAACATCTCAGAGCCCTCCAAAGGCCAGGAAAGATCCAATGGTCTGGAAGATGCTCTCCCCTCATCAATTTCATTGCACCTCCGCCTAAAAGGGAGGATGGTGTGACTCTGCCTTGGGGAACACCTGGCCATGGAGGACCTCCTTGGACACCTGGGACCAAGCTCACAGGGCCTGCCCCTCCCAACTGCTGAGAGCTCTGCTCCTGTCTACACGGAAAAGTGACACAGAGATAACTGCTTTTATCTGACTTTGTAGTGTTCTTTGCATTTCTAGCTACTCCTTCAGAACAAATAAACACCCAAACTCCTTTACACTGATCCAGTTATTGTGTAGCAATTCTCATGTGCATTTAGTCTGTCCTGACCCTAAATCATGGTAACACTAACAAACTTAAATGCACTCAAAAACAATCGTAACTGAAACGGAGCTATCTCCCTCAATGCTGTCTCCCTTCTGTTAGCATAACAAACTCCAGTTGCTAGGGCTTGGATTATTTTTTTTACTCCAGTTTTTTAAAAAAACCTTTAACCAAAAAAGCCACTATCAAAGTAATAATGTAGTCTGTTTGTCTAAATGAGACAAAGGAATACTTCAGAGGGACTACTTACTGTAGGTAGGCTACATAGCCTGCATGTCATTACATAAAAAGCCCAAACCAAAATGCATTTCATTAGTTAATCAGGGGGGAAGGGGGAGAATTTTAGAAAAAGTATTAGAAAATATTCCTAGAACAAGGATAAAAATCCTGAATAGTTACAGCTCTTCAGCCATCAAGCATAGATAAATGAGCATAACCTGCTACTAAGGTAAGTGAAAACCAACATGCTCTTTCCCAGTAAATCTTTACATTTTCCAAGTTATATTACAAAATATCAGTAACACTATTACAAAATTATGTTATTAAAACATGGTGTTAAAACTAGTTAAGCAAGTTTAAAATAATTTCTCAAAAGCAGCTAAGCTCAAATCATCCTCAGATCATCATCTTCACATCACAAATAATTATAGTACAGGACTGAAGGTGGATATATAAAGCAGCATCAAGACTGATAAGACAGGATAAACCACAGTGCAAGCAGAAACAAGCCTTCATGTCAAAGTTCTTTAAATGTTTTTGTTGTTAGAGCAAAAAGCACTATCAAGTACACCTACAGTCTGTTCATAATCTCGTATCTATACTTTTTTGAAACTAGCAAATGAACATTTTTGACATACAGATCTTTAGCAACTTAAGTTCCAGGAAAACCAGAGATACGACCTCTTGACTGCAAAAATCAACACAAGTCACTATGGCTACTAGATGAAACCATCTAGCCTCTTTGCCTCAACTTGGAAAGGATATTAAATCTCTAGGAGCTCTGTGTTCCAGTGTAAGATGAGCTGCAAAGTCATCTGTGACATGATTTGGATCCCCTCCAGGTAATGCTGCACATATTGGACAAATCTGAAATGATAAAGCAAGAAAAAACCCCAGCTTTATAAATTTTACACAAAAAGAACTTGTATCATTGAGTCAATCATTAGACATTGATTCTTATGCTTTAAAAATCACATTCTAGGTATTCACACACACCTGGATAGCAACCTATTCAAAAAACTCAGAAAACATATTCAAATGCAGACATTAATTTAGACATCTTTTACTTCATGATTTTCAGAATGCTATGAAAATCAGAGCAAATTCAATTTGCAGTGTCTTCAAAATTAGTCTTTGTATGCCAATTCTGCCACAGACAGTACAGTCTGATTACTCAGGATTACTATTTGCCTGCTTGACACTTATCCCAGCAGAGGAATCGGAATGAAACCACACCTAAGTATTTGCTGAAGTATCAAACTGAGACTACCGATCCAGGTAATATGGAATTATGTATCTGGAAGACAAGCGTTGATCTCCATATCCCTACACAACAGTTTAGGAGAAGGCACGGATGTCTGTCTTTGGTTTGTTTGGGGCGTTGCGTTTTTTGGTTTTTGGAGGGAGGGGTTGGGTTTTTTGTGTTGTTTTTTTTTTTAAAAAACAAAAACACACATTAAGTGAGTAGACAAACTGTGCCATTACAATTACCATGTTATGACTTGTTTTTTGAATGACTCCACAAACTGCTTGAAAAGCATCTTCCATTTTTCTTTATAGTAGTTTTGCAGACTGATTTTAAAGTATTACAGATGTCAGACAAAAAAAAACCCAAGCCATTCCATTAAATTCTTCCCTCAAATGTTAGGTGCTCAAATTAACAGCACTTTAACAGTTAAATGCAACTGCTGTCCATGAATTTGTATCTGTTCCTCACAGTCAAACAGGCTTGACTTTATGGAGCAACAACTATGGCTGCAACATAAAGTCCAGGTTCCCAATGCTCTTCATGCATATACTCAAGTTGTTGACAGAAGATTTCAAAAGACCGTGGGCATTAAGAATACCTATATAGCAGCGCACACATCTGTGTTACTCTTACGGAAGTGAGGATAAGGTCTTGAAATAAGTTCACTGTAAAATCTCAGCCGCTTTTGACAGCAGCTGCTACATCTTTAATGCGACTTTAATTTTAGTAGACAGCTCTGCACAGAAAATGAGGCATTTTAAAACATTTTTGCTACTACGCCTTCTGCTTTATTTTCAGTGTTCAGCATTCCTCTTCACGGAATTCCTCTTCCCAGATTTTTCACTACTACACAAGCCATACGAGACGACACACTACAGAGCAAAGACATCTTATTACATCATAGTATAACAAATACTCAACTATGCCAACATATCATACAGCTAACCCTGTAAGGACATAGAAATGGATGTCTATTGGACAGATGGTTCTAAAGTCCATAAACTTATAAATAAGCTGCTTAATCTCCAAGAACATGTTTCATACCAACAGGAGGATAACACATTCAAAGCAGTCTTTTTTCATTTTAGCTACTCTGAGGAAGCAGAACTCCAACATGAGAAGAACAACGTACTTCTGAAAGTAGCAAAGCAGAAGTTCTTTTGCTAACAGGACAAAGGTGTTATGAACTGCACGTATTTTGCTGAAAAGAAGAGATACAGTCCTCAGAAAAAACACTGGCTAAGAAAAAGTTATGAGGAACAATGAGAAGGAGAGAATTTAAGTATCCTAACTGTAATTCTAAACATGGACTAAACTGCCAAGAACTCTCTGACTGGGAAGCTACTGAAGCATTACGCAGAAACAAAAATTTAATTAAGCATAAGCTCTTGCAAAATTACAACAAAGGCTGCAGCATCACTGATTAAGCATGACACAGCTAAAAAGCATTGAACAAATGGTGCAGACAAAAGGAAAATGTCAGAAGTTTCTCCCAAAGTTATGATTACTTGTATTAAAAATCATCATGTTACCCTGAATGGTCTGAAAGATGACTGCAAAGTCTTAAGGCAATCATACAGAATACCTGACAGTATTTCTGTAACCTCAACAAGAGACACTGTAATCTTCAAGAATGAAACAGGAACCATTCAACTGTCTCAGACTGTCTATTTCATTACTGCAAGGAAAGCTCTCAATTTTACCAGCAACATATCAACAACCTAGTCCTTCCAGTTCATGTACAAGATCACCAGTTACTGCCTTGCCAAATGTGAGAAAGTTGCTCACCAAAATCACGTGATTGATTCCTTATAGTGTGTAATCTTAACGACTTAATCACAAAACTTACTATTCCCATAGACACCAGCATAATTTTCAATTAAAGTATCCAGAATTAAAACAATCACTTTTTAGGAATTACCATCTAACTCTCCTCCTGCAGTTCCTCTCCAGGACCTCAACATGCTGGGGTGCCTCTCCAAAGAGCCTGTATACTAATGCACACAGCATGAGGAATAACCATCACGAGCTCAAGATCTGCATGCAGTCGCAGCCCTGTGGTCTTCTTGAGATCACAGAGACATGGTGGGACGGCTCCCATGACTGGAGTGTTGCAATGGAGGGATACGGGTTCTTTAGAAAGGAAAGGAAGGGGGCTCTTTAGAGGAGAAAGAGGGGCTTGCCCATTATGTGACAGAGCAGCTGGACTGCATGAAGCTCTGCCTGGGGATGGAAGAAGAGCTGATGGAGAGTTTATGGGTTGGGATTAAAGAGAGGACAGGCAAAGGTGACATTATAGTAGGTGTCTACTACTTGACCATGAAGAAAAAACAGATCACACCCTCCACAGACGCACGGAAGCTGCCTCACATTTGCAGGCCCTGGTCCTCATGGGTGACTTCAACCACCCCAACACCTCCTGTAGGGACAACACAGCATGATAGCAATCTGAGAGGCTTCTGGAGTGCACTGATAACTTCCTCCTCCAAGTGACAGAGGAACCTATGAGGAGACGTGCTCTGCTGGACTTCATACTCATCAACAAGGATAGGCTTATTCGAGATGTGAAGGTCAAAGGCAGCCTTGGCTGCAGTGACCTTGAGATGGTGGGAGTTCAGGATCCTGAGGGCACGGAGGAAGATGAAAAACAAACTCACAGCCCTAGACTTCAGAAGAGCAGAGTTTGGCCTCTTCAAATATCTGCTTGGAGTAATCCTGCGGGATAAGGCCCTGAGAGGTAGATGGGCCACAAGAAAGCTTGTTAATACTCAAGGATCATCCCCTCCAAGCTCAAGAGTGCTTCATCCCAATGAATATGAAGTCAGCCAAGGCCAGGAGGTCTACATGGATGAACAAGACGCTCCTGGTCAAATTCAAGCACAAAAAGGAAGCATACTGAGGTTACCATCCTAGGGTAACCTTGGAGGAATACAGAAACATTATCTGAGCATCCCAGGACAAAAGAAAGCAAAAGGCCAAATGGAACTGAATCCAGTGAGCAGTATCAAAGGCAACGAGAAGGGCTTCTAGAGGTAACATAGGCAACAAAAAGACAACTAAGGAAAATACAGGCCCATTGCTCAAGAGATGGAGGACCTGGTTACACAGGACACAAAGAAGCTGAAGTACGGAATGCCTCCTTTGCCTTGGTCTTTACTAGCAAGACTGGCCTTCAGGAACTCCAGGCCTCGGGAGACCAGGGAGAAAGTCTGGAGCAAGGAAGACATTCCCCTGGTGGAAGAGGATTAGGTTAGAGAATACTTAAGTGAACTGGACATACTTAAGTTCATGGGCTGTGACTGGATGCACCCACAAATGCTGAGGGAGCTGTCTGATGACATTGTGAGGTTGCTCTCAATAATCTTTGATCAATCACGGTGACTGTGAGAAGTGCCTGAGGACTGGAGTAAAGCAAATGTCACTCCTATCTTAAAGAAGCTTAAGAAGAAGGACCTACAGGCTGGTCAGCTCACCTCAGTCCCTGGGAAGGTGATGGAATAGATAATCCTGGATACCATTTCCAGGCACATTAAAGGCAAGAAAATAATCAAGAGTAGGCAGTATGGCTTCATGGAGTGGAAGTCATGCTTGGCCAACTTGATAAAGTTCTGTGATGAAGTGATTGGTCATAGGATCCTCATAGATTCATAGGACTCCCATAGGATCCTCATAGACAAGCTGGCTGGATGAGCAGACAGTGAGGTGGAGTGAAAATTGGCCTAATGAGGGTGGAGATCACTGGGTATTCTGCTGATATCCCAAAACTGGAAGGAGTGGCTGATATCCCAGAGAGCCATGTTGCTATTCAGAGGGACTGCAACAGGCTGGAGAAATGAGCAAACAGGAACCTCATTAAGTTCAACAGGGCAAATTGCAAAGTCCTGCACCTGGGAAGGAACAATCCCAGGCACCAGCACACACTGCAGGCCACTCAGCCAGAAAGCAGCTTTGTGGAAAAGGACCTCAGGGTCCTGGTGGACCATGAGCCAGCAATGTGTCCCTACAGCAAAGAAAGCTAACCATGTCCTGGGCTGCATTAGGAAGAGTGTTGCCAGCAGGTCAAGGTGGGTAATCCTTTGCCGCCGTCCAGCATGGGTGAGGCCACACCTGGAGTACTCTGCCCAGTTCTGGGCTCCATATACAAGATAGACATGCAGGTATCGGAGAGAGTCCAGCAAAGGGCTACAAAGATAATTATAGGACTGGAGCATCTCTCCTGAGGAAAGGCTGAGAAAGCTGGGACTGTTCAGCCTGGAGAAGAGCAGGCTCAGGGCCCGGATCTCATGAATGTACATAAATACCTGAAGGGAGGGTGAAGGGAGGATGAAGCCAGGCTCTTTTCAGTGGTGCCCAGTAACAGGACCAGAGGCAGCGGACAAATTCAAACAGAGAAGGTTCCTCATGAACATTAGGAAACATTTTTTCACTGTGAGGGTGACTGATCACTGGCACAGGTTGCCCAGAGAGGCTGGAGTCTCTGTCCTCAGAGACAGTAAAAAGCTGTCTGGATATGGTCCTGGGCAACCAGCTGTAGGTGGCCATGCTTGAGCAGGGGGTTGGATGAGACAACCTCCAGAGGTCCCTTCAACCTCAGTCAGTCTGTGATTCCTGCCCACAAGTACCTAACATTGCTGTACACATCAGTGTCAAATAGCTGAGAAAAATCATCACAAAGTAAACTTACCTGCACCACTCTGAACATAAAAATGGTAAAATTTAATGGACAAAAAATTCTTTGATTTATTCTTTGGAAAAAAGGTGGCAGAGGTGGCGGCTGCACAATAAAAGCGATTCCATCCCTGTAAACTTCCCTTAAAGATCTAAAAATAAATATCTAAAATAAAATACATCTTTGGAGAGACAGAGGTACTACAAGGATTACAAGCTCAGTATCAAAACAGAAATAATTGCTTGAAAGTCTAAGACCACAAACGTTTAGAATCCATATTATTTCCCCCTTTAGTAGTATTGTAGCCTTTCACTATCTACAGTAAGACTGCAGTTCCCTAGTAGTTTTACGTGCATGAACAGTAAACATGTGTCACAAAAGCAAGATTCAAACCTTAGCACAATCACATTCAAGGATTAAAATACCGTCTTTTATCACTGTTTGGGAGAAAGATATAACAATGTTGCAGGCTGACTCACAAAAAAAATTTTTTTTTTTTTTTTTTTTAAACACACACAACTCTTTCCTCAGGAATCAGTGGAGTAGCAGGTGTCTAGAATCACACATTTAGGCTTTCTGTACTGAGTTCTGAAAGTCACAGCTGCAAACAAGAATGTGTCGAATTTTAAAAACTCGAATCAACATTCTGTGTCTGGAATGTATCACTGACATCAAGTGCTGAAACTCGGAATTACAATACTAAGCCACCAATTTATCCAAATTAACCCAAACATGGAACTTTCAATGGCTGATGACATGTTTGAAATTTGCAAAGGTAAAGAAAAACTCACGGAAAGGCTAAAAATTGCAGTGTGTGACTAAGTTAAATTATAATCCTACAGTGCAACTGATTGCAAAGTAAACCTTCATTTCATACGTTTTAAGAAAGATCAGATCACCTTTGAGTCTTGAAGAGGTGGACAAACCACCTCCCCTACCACTACTTTGCACAAGACCTATAATAGGCTTGGAGAGGAAAGGTTCCTTTCCTTCCACAGATTCCTTGGAAGTTAAGAAAACTAGATTAGAATAGAGAACCTATTTGTAAGTAATTTCTTCACAATGTATTAGTGATTAGTAATCCCCTTCAAGCATTCGCATACTAGGAATCTATGGTACAACAGTTAACCACACAAGAGCACTCTGGATGTCATTCTGCCTACCTAGTTTCTCCTACTCTCAAAGACAATCAGGAGAGCACGAGCTAACGCCTCAGATTGAAGCATTTCTGTTGACACTTGTTTAAGAAGTGCAGTTTTAACCATGTCAAATGTCCTAAATGGTGAGGGATGGGGGAAAAAAAAAACCCTGCTTTAACAGCAACAGTTTCAAAAGAATGACAACTTCCACTGCATAAATATACCAGGTTCATTACAATAGCTATTTGAATAACATACCAAACTGTCTACGTATCTTTCTTTCTCTTACAGTTGCAAAAGAAAGGCACAGCTATGAGCTTCCACGACAATTACATACTGGTTGTGAAAAGAGACACAGCTACACAGAAAAACCATGAGAACATTCTAAATTTTACAGCACAATAAACTGCTAAACATGGCAGCCTTTACATCAGGACAAACGAACAGCAACCACAAAAGTAAGCAAGCTCATTATATTTTGATACCCATGAAACACAGAAGAATTTTGATGTCACCATCAAATGTAGGTATGTCTTCTTACAAAGCACCTAAATGAACTCAAGCTTCAAGGAAAACAACACGAGGACACCAATTTTCCAGAAGACAGACTCTTCTTAATATATTTCCACCACAACGGAAAACTAGTTCTGAAGTTTCTTACCACTTCTGTTGATGTTTCTGCATGCTCAGAAGTGACATGTTCTTGAAGAGATGTTTCCGTATAACCCATTTTCCCACAATAAGGACAAGTAAAAGACTGTGGCTGCTCTACGGAGAAAGCTTCTCCACCATAGTACAAATCTGGAACAGAAAATGTTTAAATAGAGGTTACTTCAAAGCACCAGCATCATTTATTTTGTTCATGTAAACCTGTGTTTATAAGTTTACTTCAATGTAATCACTGCCAAATTAATCTGGTATTTAATGGAAATGGCTATTTTAATCTTGTATAAAGGCCATAGGCTGATATTCAAGAAGTGTTCAATTACCAACAACAAAAAACAGACAGACTGCATTTCATTTTGATTAGCGAACATAACACAGTTTTCTAATATTCAGTGGGGCAAAGACTCCTATGATGATGATGATGTTGCCAAACCATCACTTTTCCACCACCCTTCTTATCCCATGTACAAGGTCACCTGGTATTTTTCAAGATGAGTTTTCAAAAGCTGAACTGTCAACAGTACCTCAAAAATCTACATTAAAATTTATAAGCCCTCAGTGATGGCGTATGTCAGTATTTATGCCATAGCTGAACCACTGTTTCACAATAAGTAGTTTTAGAAATGTCTCAAATATGTAACACAAAAGAATGATAGTGAAATAGGAACCTGATTATCTGTGACACAGTGGTTGCAACTTTTAGGTGTGTTGAATTTAAGCACTTTTGCATTACTGATGAAAAGCAGGCACTTTAAAGTTGCTAACGTAGGAGTTCCACAGACTTAACATGAAAATTTATCAAACCACGCAAGAATTCGCATACAAAAGTAACTTCTTCATCTACTATCTAAAAGGAAAAAAAAACCTTAAAATTACTAAAAACCTCTACCTAAAAACCTCACTAATTCATGAAGGTAAGTATTTTCAAGTAAGGCAGAAGTACCCACTCCAAGTTGCCAGCTGAGCAAAGGCCACAGGGCCATGACCAATCTGAAGAGAGTGGTAAATACATTAGCATGCAGGCAAAAGTATCTTTTCCTTAGATAGGTTGTTAGCTCAGTCCAGATGTCAAGAATTCCAGGACACATACTGTTCTATCACAGAGGGGAGCGGTTTAACAAGTACTGTCAAATCCTGTGTTTCCGGTCCTTGCTTTTAGAGAATATGAAACAAGCCATTTATTAATTAAAAAAATAAAAATCTGAGTTCTTTCCAGCATCCTGACTATCCTCCTACATGTTCTCCCATTCATACCTCCTTCCACATCTTTCCATTATACACAGCAAACATACATGCACATGGCAAATAAACATGCCTTCATCTGTAAAAAAAAAAAATTGAAAATGCACCTGTGAGAAGTTAAATCAGTCACTAGCAAATCAAAATATTTTTCCTTTGGAAGTTTATATCTCCCTTCTTTTCTCCTCCTCAACTTTAATCTCTCCATTTCTGACAATCAAAATCTGTCTCTTTTCTAATCTGAAATACAGGTCACCAGCTAAGTTTTCTTTTAAGCTATAACAAAAAAACCACTTGGTAATTAAATGGTATCATGAACCTTTGTGTCTAATTTCAGCATTTAAGTTACCGAATGGATATTTCTCCACCTATTTTTACATCAAAAAATCCTAAAAGTTAAGAACAGTCATGTTATTAACTACCAAAGGCTCGTTTGCTAAGGAAGACCCTATTAATTAGAGGTAGTATAGGGAAAAAATGAAAAGGCCACACCTCCACAGCTGCAGAATTGAGGCAACCTACACCTGTATTACTGTTTTCATTTACAGTTGGTATTACTGTTACGATGCAGCTGGGCCATGACCAAAGAATTATACCTTCTGGCCACAAACAAATCTTTCAGACAATGTTATTTTGTTCTTTCCTAATACGTTCCTACACAAAAGCAGGAACCCATAACTTTTCAAAGCAGCTAGGAAGACAAAGTTGCTTAATAAAAAACAAAACCAGACTAAATCACACCCCTCTAGGAGAAGATTCATTACGCACACCGCTTATCAATTAGAGGAAGATACAAAGCAGTAAAAGCATCAGAATACTGTCTGAAGAGGACTCAACAATAGTTCATGAAGATAGATTTCAAGCTCAACAGTGTTCAGACATAGCTTTTTTTGGGGAGAGAAAAAAAAAACAACAAAAAAAAATTAACTCCTGCATTTAATGTAAAATTCAACAAAAAAAAAAAAGCAGTTTTGCTTTATTATCCATCTATAGCTACTGCAATAAAAGACTGCTTGTATTAACATTTATGTCTATCCAATACATTCTTAAACTTGTCAGGAGGTTAGTAATGAGACAGAAGTACAGTAGGATTCCTTAAGATACAAATCAATCTTTCAAAAGATGGATGAGGGAACAGAGCGCACTGTCAGCAAGTTTGCTGATGACACAAAACTGAGAGGAGTGGCTGACACACCAGAAGGCTGTGCTGCCATTCAGAGAGACCTGGACAGGCTGGAGAGCTGGGCAGGGAGAAATTTAATGAAATACAACAAGGGCAAGTGTAGAGGCATGCATCTCGGAAAGAAGAACCCCAGGTACCAGTATAGAGTGGGGACTGAGCTGTTTGAGAGGAGCGTAGGGGAAAGGGACCTGGGGGTCCTGGTGGACAGCAGGATGGCCATGAGCCAGCAATGTGCCCTTGTGGCCAAGAAGGCAAATGACCTCCCGGGGTGTATTAGAAGGGGTGTGGTCAGTAGGTCGAGAGAGGTTCTCCCCCTCTACTCTGCCCTGGTGAGATTGTATCTGGAATATTGTGCCCAGTTCTGGGCCCCTGAGTTCAAGAAGGACAGGGAACTGCTTGAGAGAGTCCAGCGCAGAGCCACAAAGATGATTAAGGGGGTGGAACATCTCCCTTATGATGAAAGTCTGAGGTAGCTGGGTCTCTTTAGCTTGGAGGAGACTGAGGGGTGACCTTGTTAATGTTTATAAATACATAAAGGGCAAGTGGTGGGAGGACGGAGCCGGGCTCTTCTTGGTGATGTCCAATGACAGGACAAGGGGCAATGGGTGCAAGATGGAGCATAGGAGGTTCTATCTTAACATGAGGAAAAACTTTTCCACTGTGAGGGTGACAGAGCACTGGAACAGGCTGCCCAGAGAGGTTGTGGAGTCTCCTTCTCTGGAGACATTCAAAATCCTCCTGGACGCGTTCCTGTGTGATCTACTCTAGGTGGTCCTGCTCTGGCAGGGGGGGTGGACTAGATGATCTTCTGAGGTCCCTTCCAACCCCTAACATTCTGTGAAATAATTCAAGATTACATTTTACAATAGCTTGTCCTTGTTTTCTGTTAAGACGTATTTCTTTACGTGGGTACACAGCAGTCAATTTTAGTTTCACTTTTCTTTGTATGAGTAATGTAATTTCAATTTGATATATACATAAAAATGTTGGTATTATACAAGTTGTAGTTTATGTTTGTATTTTTTTCAACGTTTGAAGAACGTAAACGGTGACAACACACCACATTTTACAAAGTACGTATATTCCTGTACCACTGATCAAGCAGCCATACTATTCAAAACAGTACTGCCCTTAAAACTGCTGTTAGTTCTGTTTTGCTGCAATTTTCTGAATAAAAAACAACCTAAAACCTTCTTCAGTGTGAGAGATGCTGCTGGGGCTGACAATGATTACATGGCAGGTATTCAGTTATTCATCCAGCAGCAGCTGGGTGTTTTGTTTCCCCAGCAGACATCAGGGTCCCGAGCTGGCCAAGAGGCCTTAGCTGCCTTGACCAGCCTCACAACAGACCATCACACACACCCTCTGCCCATGGGCTACATCTAACGTCTGACCATCTGGCCATGAACTATGCTGTAGCTGCATTCAGCCCTTCTCCTGACTTAGATGGGTTTCCTGTAGGGAAGCCAGAGCTGATTTTTTAGACTTGCTTTGTCTGGGACGGTCAATGGACCTGCTCTACCAACCCTGTCCTGCACACCCTGTCAGTGACTGCACTGCCCCTGCCTGTGTTGCGGTCATCCTCAGCTTCAGGTTTGTTATTCCTTGTGGAGCAGCACTGGTCTTGCTGCTCTCCAACAATAAGAGCCACATGCTGAAGCCATGAACAAGCACAGGTGCTAATGACGATGAGAGAGGATTTGCTTTGCAGCCCATCTGCCAATACTGAGCAGTGCCAAAACAGCAGCTGCTGCTCAAAGGCAGGGTTAAGTAGCTCGGGAGCAGCTCTGCTGAAAAGGACTGGGGGATCCCAGTGGACAGCAAGTCAAACATGAGTCAGCAGTGTGCCCCTGCATCACTGAAGGCAAAGGATGACCTGGGCTAAATCACTAAGAGAACGGGAATCAAACCAAGGCATGTGATTATCTTATGTTACTTGACACTTGTTAGGCAACATCTTCAGTTTTGGTCTCTCCAATTCAAGACAGACACTGAAATAAAATAGAGAGGATCTAGGGGTTTTGTGTGTGTGTATTGTTTGCATGCGCACGTGTTTGTGTCTACCAAGACAGCTTGAGGGTTGGAGAACTTGACGTAAGAATGGTTGAAGGAATGCGGTTCATCTACCCTAGAGAAGGCTCAAGGTGGATCTCATCTCCAACTTCTTATACTGAAAAAGTAATTGTGGAGGAAATAGAGGTATGCTCTTCAAACAGGCTGCAGGCCCAAGCCGCTTCAGAGGAAATCCCGCCTGGATAAAGGGAAACAAAAAAACCCAACACTCACTGTAGGAACTCAACGCTGGAATAGGTGGCCCAGAATTGGTGAAATATCCCTTGAAGGAAATATTCAAGCCTTGGCTTGATAAGATAGCCCAACTTATGTTCCTGCTTCCAACAGAAGGCTGGATCAGATCATTTCCAGAGTTCCCTTCCAAGCAAACTAGACTATTCTATGATGTTTTGACTTAGCAAGATACACACTGACCACACAGATCTTCAAGCACTTGAAAAACCACAAAAGACTCAAGCTGAATTCTTGTGAATCCAGTCAGATGTCACACTACACATTATCAAGGTAACCATTATTAAGCAGCTCCCTTTGCCTAAGAATTTCACAAAAGGTGGCAGGATCTTGTGTCACATAAGCACCTGAGCTGAGATGTGAAGGTACACTTGTTCTGTATTTTGATCAAAGTAACACAATTATGATTTTGGAAGAGAATTCTACTAACAATTTGTATTACTTTCTTTGCCAGTATAACCCCTTTAAAATGGTGTCGCTAATGTGCAAGCCATATGCTTAAAATCATAAAGCATTCTAACAGCTTAGGATTCTTTTTTGGGAGAAAGAAAACTGGGGATTGTCCTGACAAATTGTCCTACAAATAGCACAAAAGTACAATGACTGCCTGGTAAGCACATTCCTGTTCTTTACACAGGCCTATTGCAACTGTACTCTTTGACCTCTCAGAAATAAACTAATTGGATTTGCGCTTTAAAGGCCACTTGTCATTACATATGAGACTTTGTATTTTATTTTAAGCTCTGTCCCTGTTACAGCAGCATATCATCTTCGTGTGTGTGTTGAAGCATTTTTTTCCAGTGTCTTTTGTGAGGACTAAAGAACAATAGCACTGCCATTGTTCTGGATCCCATCTTGCTTCAAAATTAATACTAGGTCATACACTGACTCATGAAAAGACAATTATGCCAACCAGATGGTACAAGAGTGAACACATGTGTAGCCAGAAATCACTAGGGCTTTGTATTTGTTTTCAGTGTTCTCAAGTGGGCTTGTATATGTCTGAGTCTCATGGGGGAAAAAAATAAATCAAAAAATATCAAGATGACAATAAAAGCTCCTTCAGAGCGCCTGAAGAAGTCCATCTTCTTGCAATATACTCTGCAACATTATTACAGTACCATGAACCCTAATAACTGATCATAATTTTCATGGAGGTAAACAATATGCTAACTTTTTCTATGCTGAAACAATCCCAGACATATAGGATCATCCATGTGATTAGCTGTCCACCACAAACCTGAACTTGGTCACAGCTTTAGGCACAGAGTTTCTAAGTGAACTTCACAGTTATCTGCTATTGATAGTGCTGGCCAGAATTGTCATGGGAACTGGAGGTACAGACTCCTTTTCATTAGTTGCAGATGGGCCTTGAGCAAATGACTCCTTGATCCCCACATGCTCTTTTAAAATCAAAAGAATGACACTGACTTCCTCTGAAGTGTTTGCATCAGTTTTGCAATGGAAGGATCCCCGACTCTGCTTCCTTCTCCTTGGTAAAATACTCATCTTTTACCAGTTGTCCAATTCCCTCCCCACCATCAGCAAAAATCATAAGTTTACTGCTATTAAAAACAGTTTTTATACCTTTGAATCAAGCCTGATTACAGACAACAGTATTGAAATTTATCAATGGCCAGGTAAACTACAATTCACACACCTGTCTTTACTACAGCCTTCCATTCTGTGTTTCTACTAACTTTCTCCTTACTTAGGAAAACTCCCTACTCATACTGTCACACATCAGAAAGCATTCACCTTTCATTTGAATTCACACATCACTATAAAGTGATTGAAGTCTTCATTACTTCTATGCCATCTAATTTTACATTGCCAGTCTTGCCCTTGAGATTATTTGCTTTTGATCCACTAGTATCTGCTTCCTTGGTGATTAATATCCACTAGCACAGCTATCTTGACAAGTCTGAAACAGGTTATTCTAGACTAGTTGTACCATTCACTATTGATTTTCTAATTAAACTTAACATTTCTTAGCTCCTAACTTTTTGGATGCTCCTCAAAGTCACATGATCTCCTTGGCTACACAAGGCCCTTTGAAAAGTTACCATAGTTTTGCTAAGCATCTGTACAATACTGTAAAGGCACACTCCTTTATGTCTTACATCCTACAGGGAACTGTAAAATACAAATATTTTAAGAATGGCATCAAGACCTTCCTGAGCCCTAAGGAACATGTTATTTATAACTATTCCCTAATTAACTGTCCAGTGTATAAGCTTACAAGGTCACTAGTACGCAGGTGCCATCAACCTTTGCTGTGGTTCACAATCCTGGTGGTGATGCATTCTTTCCTGTTCTACAGTGTTATTCAAACCAGGAATCTTGCTGCAGAGCTGAGCCACAGTATTTTTTCCTAACACCAGTTCTGTGGGACAAATGCTCAGATATCAAGCCATACGAAATTTCTGGAGCTTGTTTTCTTATTCTTCTTAAAGAAGTCACAGTAGCATAAACACCAAGCAATGCAGAGTTAGCCCTTGAAATCCTATTACCCATCTCAATACTTCACTGTGAAACTCCTTCCACCTCATCATCTGTATTCTTCACTCAGCCCTCAATAGTTAAAAAAAAAAAAGTCAAAGGCAGACCTCTGCCTCCACATACACAAATAAAACACATTAAACCAAAAGATATGTTTATCAAAGAGTTCCAAAAGAGAAATATCCAAATTGCAAGAAACAAAATATATTTCCTACACGTTCTTAGGTTCTGATGATAAGCATTTTTAAAAGTAGTGTTTAGAAGAAGTTTCCTCATTGCAGAACACTGAAAACTTTGACATTTAATGTTAGCTTAAGGCTTCATAGCAAGCATGTTTCACTCCTTTTACCCCTATGATAAGCATTTAATGTTTACAGCAATGCTGTCATTTTAGTCCATGTCTTACTGAGGGGCTAAGAAGTTTGAACTGTGCATCTCAAACAGTGACCAGAATCCTGAATTAACATACTGTACCCAGAGAATTTTACCTCAATAGTGAGGCCACAAACAAAGCCCATGAAGAAACACATACAAGCTAAAATGGTGGCATGCATTTTTACTAATGGACAAAACCATTTCCTTCCAAAACCTAGATTCCCAGGGCCTGGATTTTTGAAGGCAGTGTCAGGGCAAGCAGAGGCCTGAGAATTAAAACAAAATGAAACAAATCTTCATTCAAAGGCCATATTTAGAACCAACTCCATGTTTCTATATACAGCTATTCTCCAATCTTTAAAGCAAAAAAGTAGTATATTTTACTTATGTTTTAATCAAAAAGGTAAAGAAGTAATTAACAATTCGTAAGAATTCAGCTTTTAAGAAATCACCATATCTAAAGAATTAAAACCAAAAAGCAATACAGCCAGAATCACTATAAAAATTTTATGAAAATGCTAGTCCCATGGGCTTAACATAAAAATCAAAATACATGTCCAGCATCAGCAACATCTTAAGAGCAGTCGTTTGTCACAGAAGTATCTTGTGAGTTACAACCTGTTACAAACATGATGCAGCAGAAACAACAAGCAGGACAGGAGACAGGAATAATAGTTTTTTATTTTAAATACTGACATGTCTTTAGAGTCAGAAATAATTCTTAAATGAGTAGATCTTCAAAGGAGTTCCAAGAAGACTACATGCTAGTCCTTGCAACTAATCTTTACACTCAGTACAGCCCATCACTGCCGCTGCTGTACCTACAGTTCCAGATAAGCCACCAGTGAATACCCTTCCTACAAAATCTCACCAGGATTTTTCTGCTTGCACACTGTGGCACTTAATTAAAGCATTCCGGGGGGAGAAGGTTGCCACATCTTCTGAATTGGAAGTTAATTAGGAATACTTACTCACTGTTATTAAGTATATTTACTAGTCTCAACCTGCTATTATTGGACCAAAATAAAAAATATTAAAAATATATGCACCAATTAAAATGAAATATAGAATCAAAGAAAATGTGCCTTTTTCAGAACACGAGAACTTGCTTTTATTTTCCGTCTGCTAATAGCGGAAGTGATTAATAAGTAGAAATATTAAAATCCATATTACATTTGTAGACACAACATAGCAGCAAATCACTAGTCTGAAATTATCACTTACCAAAATCTACTCTTGTTAGTATGCACTGCATTGGATGGTCAGTTGTATGCCTTGTCGTCGTTGCACCACTTTCATAACAAGTTGCACACAGATCGTAATCGTAGCAAATTAAACACTTGTATCGTCGACCTCGAAAATTTCCTTTTAAACATGCATCACAGCTGACACCTGTGAACAAATGAAATTGCTTTAAAACAGCAATAAATGCACTTTTTTTCCTTATAAGAGGCAGATTTGTTGGTATTGCCTCTGAACAACTAAAAGGAGCCAGCCATCTTTGACATGTGCAGCTGACATAAGACTCAATTTTTAAATGTATATATGTCTTTAAAAGACACTGCTCTCCCAAAATTAGAATCTTGAATTCCTGAAGTAAAGTAACGGCACACTCAAGCACCTGAAATAATAATACATTAAGTTACAAAATCTCTTCGGACACACCATCCTACAGACACCTTTACCTGGTAGCATTGATCGGTATTTTTACTGTTCAGTCAGGGAATCTTGGGCCAAACACTCTTAAAAGCTAAACAGTATAACGGCTGATTGCGAGGAAAATATACAACAATAAGGAAACCAACCACTGATAAAAATCCACTAGCTTTTCAGGCCTTCCTTTCACACTTCCTAATACTTGAATTCTGAACACTGTAACAATCCCTGACATCGTATAATGGGTAGAAATTAGGATCTTTTTCCATTTTAAGTAACAGAAAAAAGTTAAAGTGTTTTTTGAAGTTAGTCTGCTTTAGTTCTCTCCACCCTATTTCTTTCTCAAGCTTAATCTTTCCGCTGTAAGGTAGCCAAACTGCATGTGTCAGAGAAAGGCTTTATAGCTTCCAAAGGTCTTCATTTTCCTCTGTGTGGTTTCAGTACTCTCTCAGTTACATAGCTAAGTGCAGGAGCAGTGTCACCATCTTGTAACCTGTCAGATCCAACACAAACTTCCTTCAATTATAGTACCAAATTAAGGACCTCCATGTAAAATACCAGTGTATACAATTAAGGCAGGATTTTGATCAACATCCTCTTTCAGCATCTGCTAAGACACGTTCTTCATAGCTTGGTACAAGCATAGACAACTTCAGAGAAATAAAGCTGCCAGAACGAAATAGTCACATTAGCCACCTCCCCATTTTTTTTTAAGCTTAACTGCCAGTGGACTGGTGTTAATTACAGAAAATTTTTTTGCATTTTTTGTTGCGCTACTCCACGCTGTAGCACTTGAACAACAGCTTTACCACACATAATACAGGAATGCAACAATAAGTAATTGCTTTTAAAATCTCTACTAGTTGTTCAAACAATTGCATCATCATGTTTAGATGAACAGTGCACAAAACTATTTTATCAATTTTTCCTTTAGTTTCTTTACCTACAGGTGTAGCTTAAGGCATTATCTGATCATTTCTAATGCCTAAGCACTGTGCTTATATGAATACTGAACCTATTTTTTTTAGCGGCCTCACTCAGTATCTACTTTGAAAGCATCACACTACATAGAATAGTGCATTAGAAAAAATATTTCAAGAATCTTTGTTAATAGCCTCAAATAACTACATTTTGAGAATGGCCCTGTTACCATCTTCAAAGCTTTTCTGTTTTGTTTTTCAAATCTTTCTCACTTGATGTGCTTTTCTCTGAAGCTTCATCCATAAACTGAAGGATCTGTAATAATTTTTGATGATTTGGACACTGAGAGCAACCTAACTTCTGAGAACACCTCCCTGTTAACTCTTCAGAGTGAATTTCATTGATTCAGTTGATTTGTTTGCTTTTCTTCCATATAGAGATCTACAAACTTTTACCTATGCAGCATCCATATCTCCCAAACAATACATGCTATACACAAAACACTTATCAGTTATTGGCAGCACTGCAAGTTTTTTGTTGCCTACTAAACTTTCCAGAAAACAGCTGATCAGCAAGTCAGACATCACACTGAAATAAGTGAATTAAGTTTAACTAGAGCCTGTGTCAGATGCTAACAACTTTCCAGGTGAAGTAGTAAGCCATGGTCCTCTCATAAGTCATGTTTTCCCCAGGTTTTTTCCTTTAAGCTCAGAACAGTTGATTAATACAGATGTAAGCCTCTTTGCAACAGCCAAACTCCTCCTCTCACATGTTGTCTCAAACATCTTGATTGTTCCTACTTGAAGACAGACATGTTTTTAAGAAATTTTCATTTACATGTTTTCTTCATGACAATACTTCTCCATATCATTCTATACACTTTGTGGTATTAACTTCCGAGAAATTCAGCCAGAGACATAAGTCACAACACAATGGTTGTATTTAAAAATTAAGAACATTTCCAGTGGAAATGTACCACAAGATCTCCAAACAACAGATTAATTTTGCTTCTTATGATCAATTATCAGAAAGTCTACAATCTGATTTGAACAGACAAATTATCATTAGCATAACACATCACTATAGCTGGTGAAGTGAGAGCAAGAGAACAAAGTTATAGACATAGCACACTTTCCACGTCTCTCACGGTTAATATTTTGCCACAACTACCACATCCTCGCCTTCAAGAAACAGGCTGACAGCAGGGAGTGTACCATGTTACTTTTATATACTTTTGTGTAGCACAGAATGAAAACCATGAAAGGGAAAATAACTAAATTAAAAGCCTCAGTTTGGGAGCTAAACCCATGCTTAAATCCCCAGACCTCCCTCTGAATCCAGTAGGCTGCCAAAACCTCACCCATCTACCCAACCCAGGATTTGGAAATCAAATACCCAGGCGAATAATATCCTCCCACCCTATTCTTTCTAACATAGTAAACACTTATTTCCTTGTCAAAGCTTTGATTTGGTTTTTAATTTTTCTTTACTTTAATCTTTACATCAGCTGAAATTCCAAATGTTCCTTTCTTTTCCCTGCACAAACTCCAAGCACTCAAAGGTAACATATTGCAGTCAGCACAGCATATCTTTCACGTGATGGTTATCCAACGTTTCCCCCCCATTTACCTTATGTTTGCAAATATAGCAGATACGTTACAGAGTCAAGAATGTCAGATTAAACCGGATGCATCCATATTAATCACAGGTTTTGAGAAGGAAACTTGGTCTGGAGGGGTTCAATTTAAAGCAGGGAACAAAAGCAAACAACCAACCAAAAGAAGAGCCCAAACAGCGTGTGACAAGGATTTCAACAGTCAGCATACATTTCTGAGTTGCACGAAACTCTACTGACTTTTAAATCCTTGAATGAAACCCTATTAACCCCAAATGAATTGCTATTCACAGAGAACTTCTGATTCATCTTTTGCAAAGCAATGACGCAGAAAGATCACAGTAAGAAATATCCATTTTAGCTACAGATTGTTTTCATTATCCCAGATGACAGAGGTGGCTTCATCAAATTTTCTCCTGCTTTTTCACTGCTCTACAAATACCCACATATACTGCATAACATGTATCATGTCTAATAAAACCTTCCTGTTCACTGACAAAGAATGTTTTTTTTAATGCAACACTGTTCCACTAGAGGGTAGCATTGTGCTAAAGCCGAAGGAGTTTTGGCTGATGTTACCTTTAATCATCAAACTTCAAGTTCTAAAAGTTTCTTCAGCAGTATTCCCTTGCAATAACGACAGTCTCCGTCTCTCCAGCTTCACATTTTGAATGAAATGAATCAGAGGAGATACTAAACAGTCCCAGTAATAAAACATGTTTTACCCCTTCAATACAAAATATTTACTACTTTTACGCCAAGTCATCCCACATTTTCACCTAATCCAGGCCAATTAACTCAGGGAAGATACTAATCACACAAGCATTTGGTATGTAGCATGGTGAATAGTGGTGTTTGAAAATAAAAAAACAACAAATCCAAAACAACCCCCCTCCCCAACACCTTCCACAGTTTGATCCTGATAGCCCAATATAATTTGCTCTTACAACACAGAATTTTTTTTGCTAGGAATTAACTACAATGAAAGCAACTTCTCCTGGGTTTAACAGAGACCAAAGGAAACACATAACCTGATTTTGTAACGGAGAGAATAACACTGGACTGTGATTCAAATACTACACACGTAACGATTAATTTGACTTTACCCCACTCGGCCTCCTCAAATACTCTGGCCAATCAGAATGATAATATTAAAAGCCCAATAATCTGGCCCAGGCAAAAGTGATCTGAGAAACTCTGAAGAACTCGGCAGGTGAGGTTTTTTTCTTATGAAGAACATATGGTCAAAAATAAGCCATATAGAGACACTGCAACATGTTCCTGCCTCAAACAATGCGAGCTGCTAAACCTTACCAATACTGTGGATGTATCATTTAATTTTTAGAAATTTCAGAGAAAATACCACCCTCTAATCACTAGAAAACATTTAAAACCCATATGAAGCCTATATCTGAAGTATACAAGCAGTGAAGAATATCTATGTTTAGCTCCTGAGCGCGGTATTTAATCCTCGTGCTATCCCTGAGAATGAAACTCCCTTGTTTCAGCAACAAACTGGAAGACATTACGTTTATAGGTAGTTTCACCATTTTACACTCCTGTCAGCAGCTAAAGGTCTCAAATCAACCTTCCACCCTGTAATTCAGGTACTGGTTTTAATTCATCAGTGCTCAGAGTGAGGATTACTGAATTCTTTAATGTCCAGCATAAATACAAAATTAACCCATCAATGATATCTTCTTCAGAATGAAAATGCCAGCTACTGAAGCATTTCTTCCTACCTTACCTGAAGTACTAAAGGGGTTCACCCTTCTCAAAGACTGACGGAATTACATGCAAGAGTACTACCAAATTTCAAGGAGACCAGAAAACTTTAAGGTTTCTATCTTTCAAAATCCCCAACTTAAGCATGCAAGTGAAAATTAGAAAGTTGTGATGCCTCTTTTGTGTACAAAGCTTGTAACCTGTGTACTGCATTTTATTTTTATATTCTGAAGATCTTAAGTAACATTACTTTTAACATGCATCTGACACATTTCCATCTAAGATGCTCTTTCAGTGGGTTGGTTTGTTTGTTTGGGTTTTTAAAATAAGTTTGCTTGACATCAACTATCTCTTCCGCAGGCTACATGCCACGTGGCAACCCCAGGCCTCAAAGCAAGGCATTCTACTTACGTGGTTCCGTTCTTTTGAAGACTGAAGATAGGAAAACATATGCCATTTGATAACCAAAAAAGAA